AGGATCTTATTTAATATTTTTCAAAAGTTATAGCGGGGTGGCTACCCCCTTATCAATTGCTAGCTCCTTCCTGAATATAGAAGAAGAAAAGACCGGACAGCGTGGAGATTTAATAGGGGAGAAAAATAAGTATTGGTTTGCAAAAATTTGGTTGCCACTTTGTAGGCTTGAATATCAGAAGATGGACCCTAAAAAATAAAAATGGTGGGTTTACGAGTTTTGACCATGAGCCCATGAGATATGAAAAGGAGAATGTTTGAGGAAACTTAAAAAATAAATATTTTTTTTAATAAATTTAACATTTTATTGGAGAAAAATTTAAAAACTTAGTCTTTAAAATGACTTTTAAGTAAGTTTTGAAAAAATTACACATTAAAATTTTTTTTTCTAAACTTACTTTAAACTGCCTTAAAAAGTTAATTTTTAAACTTTTCTCTAATAAAATTTTTAATTTGTGAAAAAAAATACTTTTTAAATAAGTAATTTTAAACTTTGCTAAACATTTTCCCTATCCCTCTCCTCCCCTTCTCTTTATTTTCCTTGTTTCGTTATACCAAATTTATAATGAAAAATATCAAGAACCTGTTGGTCCGAGTAGAAAAATTTCGATTCTCTTTAAATAAAATCTGAAATTCGAGTCTTGTGAATGAAAAAACAGGTGCTGGGAAAGGTTTCCTTATATGGGGTCCAACCCGACTCGATTCCGGATTAGTTAGAACCCAATGTGATTTATTGATACCGAAAGATTAATACCAAAAAAAAAAAATTATAATGAAAATAAAAGTAAAGTTCCTCTCTTTTTTTTTTAATTTTTATTATTTAAATAAAAAAATTTATCCTCTGTTCCTTAAACCAAACAAGAAAGTTTAGATTTATTGGTTATTCAGGAGTTGCTTGACATTCTTGCGTGTTTCATGTCTATTTCTCAGCTTTCTGTTACCCTCGATTGACCTAATAAGTTGGGTGGGATATAAGTTTTCTTTTGTGTTTTTTCAAAGTGGATTCAAATTCTAACACAAGTAATTAGAGGTTCAAATTTTTTGTGTTCTAGAATATCACTATCATATTCTATGAGGGAGTACAAGAGGTTCAAAATATTTGTAAGGACCCGGTCGGAACAGCATCTTAAATGTGAAATAATTTTAATTTTTAATAATTAAATTATAAATATTTCATTAATTTTCAAGGAGCCATTTGCAGCCGTCAACTCCCCTAGCTGCCCTGCACTTGGATTTAGTACCAAGACAAGAGGAGTTTCCTAGTATTTTATAAACCCCTTTGTCGGTCAAACGTAGTAAAAAAAAATGAAATAAGCTTTTTAAAGTTTTTTCAATCGGTGCTCCTATAACAAAGATTTTGTTGCTTCAACGCAAAAGCTATTGTCAGACTCATTCAATATAAATTTATATAAGAGTTGCATAAACTAAATTCTATGTGAAAGCTAAAAAAAAAAAATACAGATATAATTTATTTATATATTAAAAAAATAACAGTTTGATAAGTAATCACTTAATTTAAACTAACAGATAACATATGGTAATAATATAGGGGCTGGGTTGGCATGGACCATGCCTGTATAAGATTGGATCTAACAAAAAAGGAAAAGGATATTACTTTACATTTGCGACTTTGCTAGTCTATCATATGTTTTTATATTTATGTTTTATTAGGGTTTATGGTAGTTTAAGGTTTTAGGACTAACTAAAATTGTTTATTTGGGTTGGTAGACCTATGTAATAATAGATCTTAGGTAGTATTTGTTGGAACTTGGGGGTTAGAAAATAGATCATTTGGTTTCGAGACATGCTATCACTTTCTTTTAAGTTATTTTTGCTCCCACCATTTCAATATGCAAAGGGGTTAACCAAAAATGCTTGTAGGATACAATGAAACCCTGTTGATTTTGCCTTGCATCGACAAAACCAACTACTGAATCTCATTTCTTCAAATAACAAAACTATCACTTTTATAGAAGGATTTCTACAGTAATCATTGCATAAAAGAGGATTGTTTTGTATTAAAAAATAACAGGATGTTATACTTATTATTCATATTGGAATCACTCTTTTAATAGGATGAAGACAAGGTTTTTATAAGTTATAGGTGTCTATTGATAGAAGACACTTTTTTACAGACATATCTCTTCCATTTGAAGAGTTTTAACATGAAAAGATACATTTTCATTTATGTCCTTTGCCAACCATTGTCTTCTTTCCTCTATTTTGATAATTTCTCCAACAGTATCTATAGTAGTATTAGGCTTTCGGAATTTCCCTAACCTACATATTTAGATACATAAACTAACTATAAAAATTATTGTAAGTGCTGAGTGAGATTGGTGACAGTCTCTTGTACTTCGTTTTTCCCTACCGTCTGTCGTATATTTTCATCTGAATTATATTAATGACATTCCTATTTCATAAATATATATATATATATATATATATTCTAATTCCAAACCATATATAATAAGTTGTTGGCGTTCCTGGCAACAGAAAAAGAAGAAGAAGAAGAAGAAGGTGTTCAATTTTTGTTTATTCTGGAGTTGGAGGTGGAAACCGTGCAATTTCCTCTCTCGGCCCAGTACTCTTCAAATTTGAAACGGAAGTCCAATGCTTCTCGTGGTTGACACTGGATCAGAAAACGATGGTCCAAAGCTAGGAACCCAAAATATGTTAGCCCACCTTATTGTGGAAGTTGTATCAAACATATTCTTGTGGCTCGATCCATCAGCCTAATTTCATCGTCTTTAAGAATTTTCAGTAGCTAGTTTTCACATTGAAAATTCACCAAATCTCACTTTAGTAACAGGTCAATGAACAAGTTATAAAAAGAATCACATCGGGAGAGCTTATAGTTATAGAAAAAACAATTATATATTTTATGGATTAAATTACACCTAATTATAAAATAAGAATCATTAAATAAGAAATAATCTTTAATATCAAGAAATTTATTTCATATCTAATAATTTAAATTATATAATTTAATACAATTTAAATTGCATAACGTTTTTATATTAGGAACTCACTTAAAAACAAATCAAGGAGTAACTTATTTAATTTAAGAAGCAAACACTTTTATTATCAACAAAAACTTGGTTGAATTGATATCTCTACTAATTTAATGTTTTTAATTTAAAACCAATGACTTATATAACTCAATAGTTATTTTTTTCTGCAGAAAGTAAAAAATTTTGAATTCGAATCACATAACGTACGAATGAAGTGAGATAAAGGATAAAAGATGGTTGTTTTTTATTGTGTAATCAAGATAAAAAAAATTAACTAATTTAAAATTAAAGTTAAAAATTTAAATTTCCACAATATCAAGTGACTAACTCTCTAATATAAGCGAACATTTTCATCTTTTTTTTTTAATCGTTCTTTTTCTTCTTTCTCTTTCTTTAATTTGCAAAAGTAGCACCATTCAATCCAATGCTTGGAATCACTAATGCTCCATATTCAAATTTTAAAATGTCTAAGAGGCACTTCAGAGGCATTAAAAAAAAAAATCATAAAAGCTAAGAGGCTACATCATTTGCATTTTAGTTTGGGCCTTCTGTTTGGGTTTGGCTGCAACGGCCTGACAATAACGATGCTTGTTGTCAGTTCCACGTGTACGACTATGATTAGCCAATTTGCTCATTGACCCTTATTCCCAATCGAACGGACGAACCGGATGTCGTTTGACTTTTGGACTGGACCCCATTGAAAGTTGAAGATTTGCCCCAAACTCCACTCCCGGATTCGACCGAAATCAGCCTTCTGGATGAGATATTAATCTTTCTTTTTCATTTTCACTTGCACTGGGGCTAAGGCCATGTTTGGATGAGAGAAACCTCCCATTGCATGACAATGATCTCTTCATCCTAACAGGACTCAAGTGAAGAAACTGGGAAAATGAAGAAGAATTTCCCGACGTCTTCTTGCCTGAATTCGACCTCCGATCATCCTCAGAACTCACTCCTTCTGACTCAACTGGGTGTGAATTTTCCAATGCTAGACACAGGCTTGCAGATGCACAAGAATCCATGGAAACCGACCTCCTAATTATGACTTGTTTGTCCTTTGAAACGTGACCTCTATCCTCTGTTCCTCCCCTGTTTTCAGAAACATCAGAAATTCCCTCTTGATTCTCCCTGCCTGGATCCAATTCATTTTCAATCTCTGAATTTCCAATCCGGGCACCAGAGATTCCATCCATGTTACCGGAATTCAGTTCGCTTGAGGGTATCGGAGTATTACGGATGCTGTTAAAGACTATGCCGGTTCGACACACGGGGCAGTTGGTGTGAGACCTCAACCAGGTATCAATACAGGAAATATGAAAAGCATGGTTGCATTTAGGCAATAACCTCAGCATTTCATCTTCCTGAAACTCGTTCAAGCAGACAGAGCATTCCGTTCCTTCGATCAACCCTTCACCCTTCTTATACTTACAGACTGAAATCGAATTTATCACCGACTGTTGCAGGCCAACGGTGGTGATGAACCAATACGGATGATCAATCCGGTTCTCATCAATAACCTCTTCATCAGTACCATGTTCAGCTTCCTGTTGTCGGTTGTTCCTTGACCGGCAGCACTTGGCTATGATGACAAAATAACTAACTAAAAGGAAGAATCCGGCGACGAAAGAAACTATGACAATGACATAAAGAGAAATGTGAGTTGAACTTTTCGAGCTAGGAGGTGGTGGCGGCGGCGGTGGGGATAAATAGTAGTAGTCACACAACACAAAGCAATCTGTAGTGGAGTTTGTTCCTGCCGAGGAAGAGAAGAGCTTTCTGTGCTTCATTTTTCCATCAAAGAAACTGAAAGAAAATTCAAGAGATGAAAGAAAGAAAGGGTTGTGAAACTTTCTGTTTGGATTGGAAGAAAATCAAGCTGTGAAAGAAAGTTAAGGAAGTTGCATCTATTTCAGCAATTGGTAAAGACTGAAGATTGATGTGTAATTAACGTGCATTTTTTGGTCTTCTTCCCTTGGATGTAACCTTTAAATTAGAGGTTTTTTCCTATAAATTTTCAATTTCCTTTGTTATTTTATTATTTTTAAAGTCAGTGGAGAAATTATTGTATTTCTGGGTGGCTTTTTTCGTGGCTTGAGTAGGTCAGATTGTTGAGGTATTGTATATTATCAAGAAATGGACTTGTCATCTGCTAAGTATATATAATTTATCTATGTTGTAAGGTTTTTTTTTGGCTTATTGACCGTTCTCTCTTGATTTTTTAGGATGATTGCATAATTCTATTAAATGATTTTAAGAGTATACTTTCACATTAATAAAATACAATTAAAAAAAATAAAAATTTTAAAATATTGATTTTAATATTTAAACCTAAATTTTATAGAGGACACTTATTCCGTGGCACTAGAATAGGTTTTTTTGGTGCAACATTTAAATATATAAATATTGAAAGAAAGATGATGAAAACTCCAAAGAGAACAATAAAACTTACAACACGACAAGGGATTTGATCACATGATGTATAGTAGATATGCTTTCGTCTTGATTCCCATCAAAAGAGGTGAGTTGAGGATTCATGTTCACAATTATTGTTGTGAATACTTTAGAGCTTAGATGAATATGAACTATCCATGTAAATAAGTTTGAGTTGAAATCCAGCTGGGTATATATACGTTGCTAGAAAACAAGGTATGTCTATCATTTGGCTTTGAAGACAACGCCGTGATTTATTCATAGTATTTCCTACCATCTTTTATTATTATTATTATTATTAGTATTAGTATTAGTATTAGGAGAGTTTTGTCAGAGTGGTAACTTGAGAAGTTAAAATTCTCATTTGGCTCAAAATTGGGATAAAAGTTAATTTACCTAACCATAAGGTGAGATGCGAGATGTTTTGCTCCACGAGTATTCATTGATGTAAAAAGGAAGTAAATATGCTAATGATGTTTTAGGTTAATTGGTTAAAGACCTGTAGCCTAAGTATGTCAATGAATCTTTAAGTCGATTGGTTTAAAAACTAGCATGTAGGCTAAGGTTTGAAAACTTTGGTTGACAACATAATTAAAGCACAATGCTGTTTTTTATTTTTATTTTTATATATAAATGCTTTGTATAATATAATGTGACACTAAATAAGTAAAATCAATTTATGTGTGGTCCTAAATAAAAAAAATAAATCATTAAATATTATATTATATTATACAAACCATTATACAAAAAAATATTGTACTTCTATCATTTTACCACATGATATCTTATGCTACATATATAATACATATCATCGTATGTACAAGTGTCTTTATTCTTATTTTTTTATATAAAATAGGTATTCAAGCCTTTCATCTAATTAATCTCACATTTATTTACAAATCACTTTCATAAGTATTAGGTAAAACTCCACCGTTAAAAATGATAAACATGACATATTAAAATTATCTGTACCTAAATAATAATAAAATGACTCAAATGTGCATTTTCAGGCATATATAGTTCATATCCATCCTTACGACTTGAACTATGCTCAATGGTTTCCAAGTGTCTTTGTTTTTGTAATTGTAATTATCTTATATCGTTTCAAATTAATTTTATCAAGAGCATATGTGGTAAAGACGTAACAATGACACTAAAGATAATTAATATAATTCTAACAGTGATCACGTATAAAGGACTAGGAGGAGTCGTCCTCAAGTATATGGAAGCTTATATCATCTACAACCAAGGAGGAATTAATTAATCAAATAGCTCCGAGGAAATTAATTACTTAAATGCTTAAAAATTAGACTAAAAGCATTCAACAAACGTATTGCGAAATCAGCATTGACTTTAGAATTTGAATTTTATTATACACCCTGGCATCCTAATCCACCAAATACCAAGTCTAGCAACCATTTGAATGTTCGTTTAGACCATTTCTACCCTTCACACTGCCTAATATTCCTTTAAAGTATATTTCCTGGGCACCCCATCTAGAATCCATCAATCTCTTGCAAGTCTTCTTCTTCTTCATATTGATTGTGAAGTTTTTCTGTTATATAAAATTACTGTTAAAGGTTTCATATACAAAAGCTAAAATGCAAGTTATTTCAACAGTGGGATCTATTCTACCTATACATCCCGGTAGAATTGGTCGAAATACTGTCATTCTTAGCCATCCTCGTCTTTCATTGATCTCAAGATTGGACAAGGATAGAAAGAAGCTTTTCCAAAGCCTGACATCGCCATCTCGCAGCTCCGGCCATAGGAAGATGTAATTATTTTTCATTTCAGATATATATAGTTTTTGAAACTTTTGAATTTCGAATATCTATTTTGATGCCGAGTTTAAATGGGTGTAAACATTTGGATTCAGGAACATGGTTTCCTGCTGCACCGTTGGCTCAGGACCTCCACTTCCCCCTGATTCTTCTCCTGGTTCTTGGTTGGTTTACTAATCTACAAATTCTATTTGCCATGATTAGTTATTTGTCTCTGTTCAACTTAATTTCATCATTCTTCTTTTAAAATTGCGATGGTGACATTTTTTGCAGGAAAGGTTGGATTCTGGGAGTGGTGGTAACTGTAATCCTACCCTTTTGGATCAACAAATTGGGACCACTGTTAAAATTCAAAGGTAAGATCAAATTAATCTAATCTATGTTCATGACTTCATTGTTGTCATCACAAGTTTTAATTCAAAGGAAAGCTTCATGACTTCTATGTTCAGAGGAAGTTGAAACTGTCGCCGAGACAGCGGAACAGGTTGCTGATATTGTAGAAAAGGTTGCCGAGGAAGTGGAGAAGGTGGCGGATGAGGTCTCCGATGCGCTGCCGGAAGGCGGAAAACTTCAAGGTTTTGTTAATAAGGTGGAAAATGTGGCCAAAGAAACGGCCAAGGATGCCCATCTAGTGGGAGAAGTCATTGGAAAGGTTTGACCTAATCTCTTGTTTTTCTTGTCGTATACAACATTTCGTTTGATTTGATTATCAATAAGATTAGTTTCAAGATCTTTTCTTGTATATCCGTCAAACCAAAGACTTTTATTTTTGGTCAAGTTTTGATTTCTTCGAATCTGATCAAGCCTCGCACGTGGCTAAATTTTAAATAATAAAAAAAATGGGGATCAATCCAGTATTTAAGATATATTGCAAACCATAGCATCATTACTTCAACCGTTTGATTTATTAAATCAACAGCTATCGGTTTATGGGCAAAAACCAACTATTGGTCCTTTACTTTACTAGCTTATAGGTTTTAACCTCTCATCTTATATTATAACACTTTTAACCCCTTATCTATTAGAATTAAAGAAAATATCTCTTACTTTATAATATTTCATTAGTTATATTAACTGACCATTAATTCTGTTAATTGAAAATAGATTTTTACTAATTAACAATCAGTTAACAGTCAATTAATAAAGTTAACAGTCAGTTAACAAAATTATTTCTGTTAACTGATTGTTAATTCTATTAACTGAAAGTAAGTTTTTACTAGTTAATAATTAGTTAATAATCAGTTAATAGAATTATTATTTAACTAATAAAATATTATAAATAAAGGTTATTTTATTTAATTATAATAGATAAGGGATTAAAAATATTATAATATAAGATAATGGATTAAAACTTATAAATATAATAAAATAAAAAACTAAAAATAAGTTTTTGGCCGGTTTACGTGAATAGATCTGCCTCTATATATAATATTATTTTGTAATGTATTAATAACGTATTTGACTAAATTGCAGGTGGAAGAAGTGGAAAAGGAGGTTGAGTCATTCTTTGCGCCAGGAAAGGATCAAGGAAGCCAAGGAGGATCGTCATTAGACAAGATATAGCAGTCTGCTCGTCATTTCTTTGTTTATTTTATTTTATTTTATTTTGATATTAGTTTCATTTATTTGTAATTGTAAGTTTTTAACATTCATATTCATGAGATGAGAAGATTCGAATCTAAATTTCATAAAATATCAGGTTCTTTATTATTGAATTAAAATTTTATATTCTTTTCCTATCGAAATTTGCAAAAGGACAATGTAGCATAAGACGTGTTAAATCATTGAATGCTGTAGAAATCACAAGGTAGACTTTTATCATATTGGATATTTTCATTAATATTAATATACTTAATCGAGATTTTGCAAAGGTACTCTTTTATTTGTAGCAGAGAAGATTTTATCAGAAGCTAAGTCAAATAGGCACTAAACGCTAATTATGACCGCATGCCATTTTCTTTTCTATCAGCCAGTAAAGAGTGCACCAGAAACAATCATTATTTAGCAACAAGCAGACCTCAGAACTACTCATTGTACAGCCAAAAATTAAAAGTCTTAAGCTAAAAGAGCCCCAAAACAGCAAGACACAACTTGAGCTTGGCATAGCATTATAAACAAGAAGCACAAAGAATCAGATCCTCTAAACACAGAATCAGTGGAATAACAGCAAGGCATTTTTACCAATACCAAGATATAAGGCAGAAACCCAAGTACAGAGGAATAAGAGCAGCGAAAAAACCCGAAGTTATCCAGAAACAAGGACCATACTAGCAGGATCCGGATCCAAGAGGAAAAGCCAAGTTGGGAAACAGACAGTCTTTGTATCCTGAAGGGGAAGCTCAAACATCAGAGTATCTATTGCAGTCCAGAGACACACTCAGGGATGCAGAAACAAAGACCCACCCCCGCAAGCAAAATTGATTAGGATTTTAATGAACTAGAGGGAGATTGTGTTAACACTGAACACGCCACAAAATTTATAAACCCTCAAGAACACATATGACATTACAAGAAATTGAAATTCAAAATTAGACCTGACAAAATTGGATTCAATTCGAAAATTCAATCCAACCCATCCATTATGAGTAGAGTTATTTGTTTTATGTGTTAATTTGAAATTTGAAATTCAAAATAACTTAGACTAAAATTACTCGAACTTAAATAAGTTGGGTCATAAGTGAGTTGGGTTAGGTTGAGTCATTCGAAATGACTCAACTTTATTTATTTATTTTTTTATTAAATTACTTAAAAATCAATTTTTAATTTCCTAATCCTAAAAGTGAAAATACATAAAATACCAAAACCCTAATCTCCTATGAGTTTTACTTTCTCTCAACTTTTCCTCTTCTCTACTCTCACTCTCCCCTTCTTCATCTCAAGCTCTCTAATCCTTTTTTTTGGTGGCATTCGTGTCAAAAATTAAATTAGATGGTATATAATAAGCTGTGGCACTATCAAAAGGATTTTTTTTTAAATAGAAAGCAAGAATGCCTATTAAATATCAAAACCAAGTGGTTGAGGTACCTTCATCACCATTAGAAGCACAAAGACAGAAATATTAAGAACATCAAGATTTGTTCTTAGTTGTTAATTTGTTTTTAATTAATAATTTCTTCCTAATTAATAAAAATCAATCTCGATCCAATTTCTTCTTGTATTTGTTTAGATATATTTTGAATTTGTCTTTTGAACTTTAATGTTGAATATGACTA